CAAGGTAATTTATAGATTCAATACTATCCCCATCAAGCTACCATTGATATCCTTCACAGAATTAGAAAAAAACCACTTTAAATTCATATGGAACCAAAAAGGAGTCCGTATAGCCAAGGCAATCCTAAGCAAAAAGAATAAAGCTGGAGGCATCATGCTGCCTGATTTCAAACTATACTACAAGGCTATAGTAACCAAAACAGCATGGCACTGGTATCAAAACAGATATATAGACCAATGGAACAGAACAGATGCCTCAGAAATTACAGCACACATCTATAATCATCAGATCTTTGACAAACTGGACAAAAACAAGTAATGGAGAAAGGATTCCCTATTTAATAAATAATGTTGGGAAAAGTGGTTAGCCATATGCAGAAAACTGAAACTGGACCCCTTTCTTACACTTTATGCAAAAATTAACCCAAGATAGATTAAAGACTTAAACGTAAGACCTAAAGCTATAAAAACCCTAGAAGAAAACCTAGGCAATACCATTCAGGACATAGGGATGGGCAAAGACTTCATGACTAAAGCACCAAAAGCGATGCCAACAAAAGCCAAAATTGACAAATGGGGTCTAATTAAACTAAAGAGCTTCTGCAAAGCAAAAGAAACTGTCAACAGAGTGAATAGGCAACTTACAGAATGGGAGTAAATTTTTGCAATCTAGCCATCTGACAGAGGGCTAATATCCAGGATCTACAAAGAACTTAAACAAATTTACAAAAGAAAAACAACTCCATCAAAAAGTGGGCGAAGGATATGAACAGATAACTCCTCAAGAGAAGACATTTATGTGGCCAACAAACATGAAAAAAAGCTCATCATGACTGGTCATTAGAGAAATGCAAATCAAAACCACATGGAGATACCCTCTTACGCCAGTTAGAATGGCAATCATTAAAAAGTCAGGAATGCTGGAGAGGATGTGAAGAAAAAGGAACATTTATACTGTTGGTGAAAGCCATTGTGGAAGACAGTATGGCAATTCCTCAAGGATCTAGAACCAGAAATACTATTTGATCCAGCAATTCCATTACTGGGTATATACCCAAAGGATTATAAATCACTCTACTATAAAGACTCATGCACTTGTATGTTTGTTTGCTATTGTTCACAATAGCAAAGACTTGGAACCAACTCAATTGCCCATCAATGATAGTCTGAATAAAGAAAATGTGGCACATATATGCCATGGAATACTATGCAGCCATAAAAGAGGATGAGTTCATGCCCTTTGCAGGGACATGGATGAAGCTGAAAACCATCATTCTCAGCAAACTAACTCAAGGACAGAAAAGCAAACACCACATGTTCTCAGTCATAGGTGAGAGTTGAACAATGAGAACACATGGCCACAGGGAGGGGAACATCACACACCAGTCTGTCAGGGAGTGGGAGGCAAGGGGAGGGACAGAATTAGGAAAAATGCCTAATGTAGATGATGGACTGATAGGTGCAGCAAACCATCATAGCACATGCATACCTATGTAACAAACCTGCACGTTCTACACATGTATCCCAGAACTTAAAGTATAATAAATAAAAATTTTAAAAAACCAAAAAACCAAAAAGAACTATGTACTGGTCACAGCACAGCCTTACAGCTGATAATTACAAGGCTAGAATATGTCCCTCAGTTATCCTGTGCTTTTATAAACTGAAGCTAAGTGATAGGCTTGCAAACTCCAGTTCTAGTTTTGATTATCTTCCCTCTACCCTGTGGAAAAATCAGTTTTGCCTTCATTTGCAATCCAGTTCCTTTACTACATATAAATTTGTGCTTATTGACTTTCCCTCTGTACTGGTTATCACTTCTGTCTGTTTCCCTCATATCACATGAGTAAAATAAAAATCTTTATTTAGCACATGCTCTTTTTATATTTGTACGAGTCATGATTTAACCTTTTTCTGAAAATTATCTTTTTTAACAGTTACTTTAAAGAAACAAGCTTACTGCAAACAAGGATTTCTCTAAACCCAAGAGCTGATAATATATGTAAATACATGGCTGGAATGCCAGGAAATGGAGTCAGGTCAAGCCAAGGACAAAAAGCCTGATTTGCTCTCTTAAAAAAAAATTGAGTTCAAGCCAAGACCTTGGAAAAGTGAGTAAATGAAGGGCGGGTGTGAGTATTGTCCTCACACATATCAGTAGGCCTGGGCCCCTTCTGCCTGCCTACACTGTGTAATCCCAGCCCCCTAGCCTCACAGTTATAATTAAATCAGAGTTGGACAGAATCAGGCTGAACCAATCAGGACAACTGGAAGTTTGGGTTTGAGACTGAGAAACAGGTTTTTGCTGGGCACTTGCACCAGGAAGAATGGTAAGTTTGAATCTGGACATGTCTGTGCTCAGTCCCTCACACACATGCCATGTTCTGTGCCAAAAATACACCTACATCCTAAGTATATTGATATTGTTCAAGGTTGTTTAATGCAAAGAGTTTTCAAGCCAGGTCTTAGTTCAAAATTAAACATCAAAATTCCTACTGTGTGAAGTAGGCAGGTTACCCAACGACTCTGAAATTCAGTTTCCTCATTTGTTAAGCAGGAAAATGAATACCTGCCCCATGTAAGTGCTATGGCAATTAAATGAGGCAAAGCCATAAGTGGAAAAACACAGTTCATGGCACATAATATATATACACTCCAAAACTAGTGCCCACTCAGAAAATAGAAAAGATTCTCTCAGATACAAGTAGGATGAGCAACTTTGCACTAAAGGAGGCAAAGATGTAGGGTATGGACTAAATGTACAAAAGGTAATACTTTCACATCAAAAGAGAGGGTTGGGCCAGATGTGGTGACTCATGCCTGTACTCTCAGCACTTTGGGAGGCTAATGAAGGTAGATTGCTTGAGCCCAGGGGTTTGAGACTAGCCTGGCCAACATGGTGAAACCTCATCTTTACAAAAATACAAAAACTAGCTGGGAGTGGTGGTGGGCATCTGCAGTCCCAGCTATTCAGGAGGCTGAGGCAGGAGAATTGCTTGAACCCGGGAGGCAGAGGCTGTAGTGAGCCGAGATCATGCCACTCCAGCCTGGGCAGCAAGAGGGAGACTCTGCCGGGAGCGGGGGGAGAGAGTTGATTTCTTTAAGGAAGGACAGACCTAAAGAAAAGGTTTTGTCCAGTGTTGCTTTTGTGCTTCTCTGGTGGACATTTAAATTTTATAAGCTCTTTAAAAAAAAATTAATAGACTATTTTTTACAGCAGTTTTAGGTTCAAGGCAAAGTTGAACAGAAAGTACAGGGAGTTCCCACATACTCCCTTGACAACCCCTCTATCACATGCCACACTTTGTTAGACTAATCTTCATTTCAGGTTTAGTCTTCAGACTGAATTTTTTTTTTTTTTTTTTTTTTTGAGACAGAGTCTCACTCTGTCACTCAGGCTGGAGTGCAGTAGGGCGATCTCAACTCACTGCAACTTCTGCTTCCTGTGCTCAAGTGATACTCCTGCCACAGCCTCCCTAGTAGCTGGGATTACAGGTGCCCGCTACACCTGGCTAATTTTTGTATTTTTAGTGGAGATGGGGTATCACCATGCTGGCTGGGCTGTCTTAAACTCCTGACCTCAGGTGAGCTGCCTGCCTCGGCCTTGCAAGGCCTTGCAAACTGCTGGGATTACAGGATTATAGGCGTGAGCTACCACACCCGGCTGAGATTGCAATTCGTATCTCCTCCCCTCCCCCTTCCCCTTTCCTTCTTCTCCTTCCCTTCCTTCCTTCTTTCCTTACCTCCTTTCCCCTCCCCTCCCTTCCCTTCCTCTCACTTCCCCTCCTCTCCCCTCCCCTTCCCTCCCTTCCCCTCCTTTCCCTTCCCCCCCCTCCCTTGCCTTCCTCTTATTATATAGCAGTACACTTCCCCACACCCACCCCGCTCCCTCCCTCCCTTCCTCTCTCCCTCCCAGGAGACTGGAGAGCAGTGGTTCAAACATGGCTCACTACAGCCTTGACTTCCTGGGCTCAGGTGATTCCCCCATCACAGCCTCACAAGTAGCTGAGACTACAGGTGTGTACCCAGCTAATTTTTTGTATATTTAATAGAGAAGGGGGTTTGCTATGTTGCCCAGGCTGCTCTTGAACTCCTGTTCTGAAGCAATCCACTGGCAGCAGCCTCCCAAAGTGTGAGCCACCATGCCCACCTACATTTTTCTTTTAGCATTCAAAACATTCTTTAAAATTAGAGAAGAATAAGTAAAATATTTTTGTAAAAAAGCAAGTAATACAGGAAAGTACAGTACATCCTCCATTCTATTCCCTTCCTTGGAGGTAACCTTCCCAGTAGGTTTTCAATGACATTAAGGATGATGTAGATGAAATGAACATTCTAAGTAGGTTTACAGGACATTATATGGCTGGTTCTGACAAGTCTTTCTTGATTTAAACATCACTTTTGCAACACCGGCCAGTCTTTTTCATTTGCCCATCAATAAGAAGAATATTTATCTCTTTATCCCTGTGTGACTATTTTAAATGCAAAGTCTCTGATGATGTGTAGACACTTTTCCAATGTAGTTAAAATGGTACAAACACTTTTGCAGTTACTGAAAAATTAAACATAAAGCTGCTATGCAATCCAACCATTCCACTGCTAGGTAAGGAGAGGATTTAGTGCTATCCCAAATAGTCCACAAGTTTGAATAATGCATTGCCAGTGGTTCTTGTCTGGTACATACAGCAGAATCACCTGGAAAGATTTTTTGAAAATACATTCCAGATATACAGAATCAGAACAGCTCATGATGGGCCCTGGCATACATAGTCTAATAAAAGTTCCACAAAGGATGATTCTGCACACAAACACCCATTTAGTGCCATGGCTTCATATGGTTACCTTGGGTAAGCACACCCACTCCCTCGGCTTCAGCCGATTTCTATGTTGGGAGAGGGCCCGAAGAAAGGTGGTCATGTTGGCATTAAAATAGAGAGAAAGAGAATTCAAGACAGTTATGAATATGTACAATAACTTATCTGTAAGTAAGCAATACCTACAGCAGAAGTAGAGAATCCGAGGATTTTGGAAGAAGAAATTGTCTTCAAGAATTCTGCTCTCCCGCTAAGAAAGCAGAGGCTCCTCTGGGCCAAAAACATCCTACAAAATATAAGAAAAATTGAGAAGAGGAATAAACATATGATAGGTACAACACTATCAGACGCTTATAGCTAGCTGATATATCATAAGCTTATGTAAAATCCAAGTAAACATTTTTGATAAGTGAGCTTGCTTTCTTTCAATTGTTCTTCCTATAATACAATCTCTCATTACTGGAAGCATTCTAATAAATGTATTTTTCCTTATATAAATTTATATTCACATCATTTTAAACGGAGAGCTGTAAGAATATTCTTAATTCAAAGAATAAGGCTTTTAGTCAAGAGCATTAAATTTCAGTAAGTGAAAGTTCGATTTCTAAGAGCTATAAAATCCAGAGTATTTTAATCTAGGAACTACTCAAATTTCAGAATCCTCTGGATAACAGTCACTAGTAAAAGCACAGTTTGTAACAGTAAATTGAAGTTGTTAGAAACAGGTTATTTAAAAAGTTGTTTGAAAAGATGAATGATAGTAGGTCCTTGATAAATATAAGGAACCTATGAGTGACTCTTAGGTTACGCTGAGGGGCTACTTCCTCCAAAAATTCCAGCAAGCCATTTTAGTAGATTCCAGAGGCATGATAGGCATGCATTCTGAATTGCTTCTCTACCTGTAAGGAAATTGATATCCGTCATGGGTAAATGAAAGATCAAGGCAATGAAACTCTATTATGATATTGCCACTTAGAAGTGGAAAGAAAACCCAGCTTTCTAAAAACATTTAGGCAAATAGAAATTTCTCTCAAGTCTACAGTATAAGGCTGTTGTATCAGTGGATAGCATTTCAGCTAAGTTATCAAATCTTAGAGAAAAAGAGACTTAATCTGTGGATTTAAAAGGGCCACTGAAGCTAGCTATAAATCTCTTCAGGTTACCAAAATGTTAAGGTTAAAGGACACTTTAGCTGTGAAAAACCATATAGTAGATGTTTATTAAAAAGTAGAATATAGGCTGGGCATGGTGGCTTATATCTGTAATCCCAGCATTTTGGGAGGCTAAGGTGGGCGGGTCACTTAGGCCAGGTGTTTGAGACCAGCTTGGCCAACATGGCAAAAACCTGTCTCTACTAAAAATACAAAAAAAACATGAAAAAACCCAAAAACATTAGCAGGATGTTGTGGTGCACACCTGCGAACCTAGCTACTCTGGGGGCTAAGGCAGAATTGCTTGAACTGGAGGGTGGAGGTTGCAGTGAGCCAAGATGGTGCCACTGTACTCCATCTTGGGTGACAGAGACTGTCTCAAAAAAAAAAAAAAAAAAAAAAAAAAGAAAGAAAAAATGTAGAACACAGAATCCCGGCCAGTCACGGTGGCTCAGGCCTATTAATTCCAGCAATTTGGGAGGCCAAGGCAGGCAGATCACTTGAGCCTAGGAGTTTGAGACCAGCCTGGCCAACATGGCCAAACCCCGTCTCTACAAAAACATAAAAAGTTAGCCAGGTATGGTGGTGGGCACCTAAAATACCAGCTACTCAGGAGGCTGAGACAAGAGAATCGCTTGAACTCAGAAGGCAGAGGTTACAGTTAGCCAAGATTGCACCACTGCACTCCAGCCTGGGTGGCAGAGTTATTCTCAGAAAAGAAAATCCTGTTCTTGTGTATAAAATCTCAGTTTAGATGACTGCAACTAAAAAGACCTTTCCTTGCCATGTAATCTATAACAGCCGCTTAGCCATTCTACATCACACCAGCCTATTACTTTATTATTAATTCTCTACAAAGCGTTTTCTGATTTGTCTGTTTGGCTGGTCATTTACTTACTGATTAAAGTAAATTAAAGCTCATGAGCAGGGACCTGGTACGTTCACCACTGTATCCCCTGGCATTACAGGAGGCACTTGATAATAACTGATGAGTAACAAGATAGAACATAAAATCACATTATAAACTAATGATTTAAGTGGGCTATTTATGAGAAGAACCCTTTTATGAAATATTGATTCCTTTTGTAAAGTAAGTAGTTACCCTTTGTATTTTGTCTTTCAAGTTTTCTTAAACCAAGACATGCTAACTTTTAAAAATAATTATTAAAGTTCTGGGGTACGTTTGTTACATAGGTATACACGTTCCATGGTGGTTTGCTGCATCCATCACCCCATCATCTACATTAGGTATTTCTCCTAATGCTATTCCATCCCTAGCCTACCATCCCCTGCTATCCCTCTTCTAACCCCCAACTCCCTCACAGGCCCTGGTGTGTGATGTTCCCCTCCCTGTGTCCATGTGTTCTCATTGTTCAACACCCACTTATAAGAACATGCAGTGTTAAGATTTTCTGTTCTTGTGCTAGTTTGCTGAGAAAGATGGTTTCCAGCTTTATCCATACCCCTGCAAAGGTAATGAACTCATCCTTTTTTATGGCCGAAGTATTCCATGGTGTATATGTGCTACATTTTCTTTAGTCTATCATTGATGGGCATTTGGGTTGGTTCCAAGTCTTTGCTATTGTGAACAGTCCTGCAATAAACATATGTGTGCCTTTGTAACAGAATGATTTATAATTCTTTGTGTATATACCCAGTAATGGGATTGCTGGGTCAAATGGTATTTCTAGTTCTAGATCCTTGAGGAATCGCCACACTGTTTTCCACAATGGTTGAACTAATTTACACTCCCTCCAACAGTGTAAAAGTGTTCCTATTTCTCCACATCCTCTCCAGTATCTGTTGTCTCTTTATTTTTTAATGATTGCCATTATAGCTGGCATGAGATGGTATCTCAACGTGGTTTTGATTTGCATTTCTGTAATGACCAGTCATGTTGAACTTTTTTCATATGTTTGTTGGCTGTGTAAATGTTTTCTTTCAAGAAGTGTCTGTTCATATCCTTTGCCCACTTTTTTATGGTTTTTTTTTTTTTTTTTTTCTTGCAAATTTGTTTAAGGTCTTTGTAGATTCTGGATATTAGCCCTTTGTCAGATTGGTAGATTGCCAAACTTTTTTCCATTCTGCTGATTGCTGGTTCACTCTAATGATAGTTTCTTTTGCTGTGTGGAAGGTCTTTAGTTTAATTAGATCCCATCTGTTTATTTTGGTGTTTGTTGCCATTGCTTTTGGTGTTTTAGTCATGAAGTCCTTGCTGAAAGACAGGCTAACTCTCATGGTACTAACTCCTGTGTTCAGGAAAGTAAGTAGTTACCCATTGTATTTTATGTCTTTCAATTTTAAGTTTTCTTACATCAAGACATGCTTACTCTTGTGGTACTAATTCCTGTGTTCTGGAATAAAATACTAACTCAATTAGACAGATGGGCTAATTTTCAGGAAAAGTATTACCAAACAACAGGAACTATATTGAAGAATCTTCATTATCACAAAGTTTTTTGACTTAGGACCATATTTTTTTCCCCATCAAATAGATGTCCATTTATTTAAGTTCAGCGTGATTCTTCAGGTATTCGAGCAAAGTGTAAACAAAATGCTTTCTTATAAATGGACAGATGAGAGAAGAAAACTCTTTTAACTTCTTGTGATAAACGGGGGTTTATCACAAGTAGGGGAGGCAGGATGGAGAGGAGGAGAAATTACTAAAAATCAGGATACCTGGATTCTAGTCCTCGTCTTGATATTTTTAAAAAATGTGCACAGAGCTAGAGTTGTTTGTTACACTGGAATTGAGGACTTTAGAAATTTAGGATTATTTACAGGTCAAAGAAGAGGTGAGAAGAAAGCATGAAACTCCATGTCAAAGTTATGTGTTGAAAGCAAACTAGAGCACACCTGTTCAGAATGATGCCTGAGGTGATGCTGAGCCATGCAGTGGGGTGATGCCTTAGGTGGTACTTAATTTAAAATATGTTTTTCTTCTACATTTTTTCTACTTTCAATAAATTTTTTCCCTTTTCATCTGATATCCCTAATTCCATCAATTGCCCTCTTTCTAGTTCCCCTGAGAGTGCAGTCATAGATGACAACACTGTGATAACATTGTAACAGACAAAACCTCAGAGGCAGCAGGGTGTGTAGAAATGAGTTTACTAGTGTTATGGGTTAAATTGTATTTTCCCCACCCCAAAGGGCCAAAGAGTAAGTGCTAACCCCCACTATCTCAAAATGTGACTTTATTTCAAAGTAGGGTTGTTGCAGATAAAATTAGGGTGAGATCATACTGTTATACTTGGGTGGGGTGGGCTGCTGATCCAATGATTGGGGTCCTTATAAGAGGAGAGCCATGGTAGGGTGCAGTGGCTCACGCCTGTAATCCCAGCACCTTGGGAGGCTGAGGCCAGTGGATCATGAGGTCAGGAGTTCAAGACCAGCCTGGCCAATATGGTGAAACACCATCTCTACTGAAAATATACAAATTAGCCAGGCATGGTGGCATGTACCTGTAGTCCCCGCTGCTTGGGAGGCTGAGGCAGGAGAATCACTTGAACCCAGGAGGTAAAGGTTGCAATGAGCTGAGATGGTGCCCAGCCTGGGCGACAGAGTGAGACCCTGCCTCCAAAAAAAAAAAAAAAAAAGGAGCCACATACAGACAGAGACACAAAGGAAGAACAATGTGTGATGATGAAGGAAGAGACTGGAGTTATGCAGCTGCAAGCTTAAGATGGCCAGCAAACCACCAGAAGCTAAGAAGAGGCAAGGAAGGATTCCCCAATAGATTTCAGAAAGAGTGTGGCCTTGCTGACACCTTGATTGTAAACTTTAAGCCACCAGAACTGTGAGAAAATAGAATTCTGTTGTTTTAAGCCACTCAGTTTGTAGAACGTGGTTATAGCAGTCCCAGAAAAGTAATAAATCTAGTATCATACATTTAATAAATGGGGCCCAGATTTAAATTCAGGTTTCTTTGACTGCATGAAAATAAAATAAAATAAACCCCAACCCTGTAAGAAAAATAGTAAAGAAAAATTAGAGCATGTGGTTAGTAAGAAATTCAATAGAATTTCTACATAAAATGCTAACAAATCAAAACCAGTAGTATACAAGGAGGATAATACATCATGACCAAGGGATGTTGGATTTATATAAGAAACCTATTAATGTGATTCACTACATTAGAGATTAAAGCAGAATTCAATCTTAAAAAAAAGTTTCTCTCTGAGGTCAAGTTACAAACTTTTGCTGGACCTTAGTTTCTCTTTTTCATAATAGATGAATAAACACGGTTTGAGTTAAAGCAAGCAGGTAGAGGGGACCCTCTCAAGACATAAAGATACAATGGCATTTGCTGATTATGGCGGAGCTGTCCCAAAAGACACAGTTGAAAGTTTGTGTATTTTTAGTAGAGACAAAGTTTCACCATGTAGGCCAGGCTGGTCTCAAACTTCTGGCCTCAAGTAATCTGCCCGCCTCCACCTCCAAAAGTGCTGGGATTATAGGTGTGAGCCACTGCGAACAGCGCTATCCTTTCAATTTGCTTAATTATTCCAACTATCAGTATTCTTAATTATCAACAACATCTACAGGAGGCTGCCCCTACTTTTTCCAATCAGCCCCTGTCTTCCTTTATTTCCCAGTGTAGACAGTTCCACCACTTCAATAATGCTCTTGATGATGCCTTACCCATTCTTGCCTGTCTTTTCACTTGTCTGCAAAACCCTATTCCTGGATGAGCCCGACTACGGTGCCTGCTTTTCCTATGGCCCCTGCAGTTGTGGACTCCTGGAGAAAGTCCCATGGGATATTGGTTTCACCACAGATTTGTGGTTATCAATCTCAAATCGACCCCCAAAACTCTGCCATACTTTTAATTTATTTTGTGGCAATACTTGTCTCCCATAATCCAAAATTATTCTTTAAATTTTTCCCACACTCCTTTAAACTAAATCCCTCTACTTTCCTCCTCAGTCCAAACAGATTGCACTCTCGACTTTCTCAAAGCTAAAAAATCCTTGTTTCTTCTTTCCCATTATAAAAGGAAATTACCCACCTTCAAAAGCGTAGTCTCTTCTCCACGACTTAGATCTCATTCCCTCTACAGAGACCTTGCTCCACTGATTATTACCTCTTTTCTCCTGCATATTAAACTTGCCTTGTTTAGGTCTCTCCCAGTTAAAAAAACATTAAAAACAAACAAGCAAACAAAAAACACAAAAAATAAAACTCTTGACTCTACCATCTCCCTGTTGCTCATTTTACTAGCTGTCTCCTATTCCTAAATCTATGCTCCTCAACCCAGTGCAATCTGACTTTTGCATCCATTACTCCATAGTGGAAACTCTTGCTTTGACCTTCATATTGTTAAATCCAGTGGACATTTTGCAATTCTCACTTTCCTAGAGCTCTCTGCTGCTTTAGATACTGGTGGGCAAGCCCTCTCTCCCCTGAGAAACACCACATCTCCCTCATTTCCCTCCTACCTCTCCCACAATCCACACTGAATGATGGAATTCCAAGACCTAGACTTAGGCTCTCTTTCCATCTCACCTATGACTCTCTCACTAGGTAATCTTATTGTGGGAACACAGGTGAAACATAGGTGAAAAAATGGCTCCCAAGAAATTTAAGCAGGCTGACAAGTGCAGATTCAGAACCTTTAAATCAAGCTATTTTTTTATCTGCATTTTAAGTAAGCATATTTTGAGCAGCATTTTCTAATGCAATCAACACTGCATATATATATATATATACATACATATATATTTTCACCAAATAAGTGAGATAAATATATTAAATTTACATGTCATAGAAAAGTTGGAGAAAATAAAAAGGTATATGGCTCTTAATTCTAAACAATATTTTCATTGTATTTTTCTAGTTTCTCCCTAAAAACAATTTCTGTGAAGAAAACCAGGCAGCTTATGAATCAGGATGATCTATGTAATCTAATCATGGCATATTATGCATAAAGTCCATATTCAAAAACATTCGATCAATAGAAATTACTTTGTCCATTTATTATCAATGAGTGTTTAAATGAAGATTCAGAAGGTATGCTTGGCAGATTTGGGGTGGCCTGAAGCTGAGAAAGCTGGTGAATTTTTGGGGGCCGAATACAAAGCTAAAAGGCAGACAAAGCAGTCAAAACAAATCTTAAGAAGCTTAAAGCTCTAGACTTAAATCCAAATTATCCAATTTTACTTTACACATGGGGAGGAAAGGAAGAGGTTTAATTTGAGAAAGCCCAGAACATCTGGGTTAACTGCAAGTTCAAGCAAGATTAACACGAGGCAGAAAGAGCTACAGCTAAAAATGCACCGCCCACACTGTTATGAGTCCAACCATGGGAAAGGAGATTTTCCTTTCATAATTCTACCTTGTTAGGTTGCTTCCTGAATGTTTTTAAGTTTCACTGATAGAACATAGGGCATCTAGGCGGTGAACAAAGTACTGGATGGGGGAGTACAGTGAATGGGCTTCAAAGCCACGGCTTTCGAACAAGAGCGGAAAGAATTAGCCAAAGCTGGCCTGGCCGGGCGTCGTGGCTCACGCCTGTAATCCAAGCACTTTGGAGGCCAAGGCGGGCGGATCACCTGAGGTCGGGAGTTCAAGACCAGCCTGACCAACATGGTGAAACCCCGTCTTAAAAAAAAAAAAAAAAAAGAATTAGCCAAAGTTGTTCAGCACACGATTTAAGGAGACACAAGCCTGAAACTGCTGGAAAGCTGTTCTGTGAAAATGGGATTTGTGTAACTATAAACTTCTCCAGAGGGAAGCATTGCAGCTGCCTGGGTGCACAGTAGGAATTCGGTTTTAGCACCCGAGGTCAGACCCGCTAAGGGCTGACCTGCAGCCCCAGTCCAGGTGGTCGCCGAGGAGCCACGCGCGTGGGAGGAGCGGAGGATTTCTGCGCCACTCGACTCCAAAAGCAACAGACTTGACTACTTTTCTCTTTTACCTACAAATGCTGGATTCTGCTAAGCTTCATTTATGAGACAATGTGTGAGCCTTGGTTTCCTTTTGGATTTTTTAAATTAAGAGTCTGGAAGTCACCCTCACAGATTGCCTTCTAAAAGCCCAAACAGCGAACTCAAGAGTAAAAGCGGCAAGCCGGTGGCCGGGGTCTCGGGGCTCCCTCTTGGAGGCCAGCCACCTCGGCGCCTTTCCCTCAACTTGTTAATCCAGGGCCGACTCTCCGCAGTCGCCCCCGCTGGCGGCCCGGGCCGGGCTCCGGAAGACCAGTCCGGCCTCCGTACCCGAGCTCCGCACGCCGGGTCGGCCCTCGTCAGTCCGCGCGGAAGCGCCCGTGCTACTCACCTCTACCAGGCGCGAGAAACTCGCCACTCGAGGCTCGAGTCCCGCCTGGGCTTGAGGGCCCGGCTGGGCGGGGTTCGGACGCGGGGGGCGGAGCCGGGGCAGGGATTGACTCTCAGGTTTGCGCTCAGCTCGTGCTTCGGCGAAGGGGTCGGCTGGGATCGCTGGACTGGATGAGACTGGATGAGGGGTGTTTTTCTTTGGGAGGGGAGGGGCGGGATTTCGGGGGTCCTGGGCTGGTGGGAACAAGGGGGCGGGGAGGGGGCGAGCCTGACGTGGCACGGGATTGGCTGTGGAGTGTGACTCAGGGCACGCCTAGGCTGTGGGGCCCGCCGCGATCGCGGACGGGATGGAAATTGAGCAGGGAGAGGGGCGGGCCGCGGGTGGGGCCTTCGGGGGGAAGGGGACGGGATGGAGGCGGGCCCGGACGTGGCCGGGGATTGGCTGCGGGTGCGGACTCAGGGTGTGCATTGGCTGCGGAGCCCGCCGGGATCACGCGCGGGTTCTGGCCGGCGGCGGTGCGGGACTGCAGTTAGGCGGGCGGGACCTGCAAATGAGTATGGAATTGAGGCCCAGGGCTCAAATCGGATGCACGCGGCTGATTGGGTTGGGGCGGGTTATAGGACGTGGACTGATGTGCAGGAATGGGCAAGCTCTGGGGCCGCTGGGCTTGTACAAGTGGAGGGGTCAGGTTAGAATAACTTTGCAAGGCGCCTAAGAGAGGGCAAGGCTAGAGAGAGTGTGAAAAGGGGTTCCTGGATGTATTTCTCATTTGAGATGGGGTGAGGGGTTAGAAAGCGGAAAGGAACTTACTTTCCTGGATATGAGTTTGATCAGCAGACTGAGAATGAAAAGGAGATGTGAGACTGAAGGGGGAAGAACAATGGCGCTTTAAAAAGCGGAAAAGGAAAATTTCTCGGAAAACAAGGAAGGAAACTACCTGTGACTTCTTTGGGGAGAGCAGTGTCAGCGAAAGGAGAGTTTTTGTTAAAAATTGAGTTTTATGTTTGGATTGTCTTCCTTTTCTATTTTAAGAGGACGAGAGACTAGAGGGAGTGGGAGAGCCGTTAGCATTGTTACTCGGTTCTAAAAAAAGGAACAAAAGTAATCTTTGATTAAAAGCATATACTCTTCAACTAGGTACAGGGAAGTTCAGAAGACGATTGGGTGCAGGGAGAAATTACTGTGTACAGGTGGGGGCAAGCCTGGATGTGGCCACGGATTGGCTATGGAGTGTGACTCAGGGCGCCCACTGGCTGTGAGTCCACCACGATTGGGAATCATACTACATCTTACCTAAAAAAAGGGAGGAAAAGTGCTAGGCTAAAGCTGTAATTGGTAAAGAAGCAACAATCATACTAGGGGAGGAGGATAGTTTAATATTTTTGTAGTTTGCACAGTGACCTTGTTTTTATCTGTGGTTAGGCAAAAATACTGTGATCTTGTTTGTAATCTCACTTCATTATGATCACAGAATGATCTGGTATGATGTTAGTGTGTTGTGAGATTATGTTTTCACAGGGCAACGCCACAGTCAATTCCTAACAACGCTAAAGTTAAGTGTCAGTTCCTTTCCTGACACCAAGGGCTATTTTTCTTTTTCTCATATTTACCAAATATTAATTGCTGAGGCAACTGGAAAGAATGAGGTAGAGAAAACATGTGTCTTAAACCTTACATTCTGGTAGGGAGAGACAAGCAATAGACAAGTAAGTATAAAAAATGATTTTAGAGAATGATAAATGCTATGAAAGAAGCAGTAATAGGTGGAGATAGCTGCAGATTTAAATAGGAGGGTCAGGAAGGCTTTTTTTTTGGAGGTGACATTAGAACTCAGAATTGAATGATGAGGAAGCAGCCTGCAAAAATGTTTCTGGAAAGGGAAATCGGCGTTGAAAAGGCCCAGAATGTAGAAAAAGGCCCTGTAAGTGAGTCCTTGAAATTACTAGCTAATAGGTATATTACACTTATATCTTCTGCTTGTTTTCTGAATTAAAAAAAATACATATATGTAGATTAGGCCTTTTCCCTTGCCTCATCTAAAGAACTAAAAATATATTGAAATATAGCAGAGAGAAGGTGGTATAGTATAATGGATAAGCCAAATTGCCTGGTTCAAATTCCATTTCTGCAATTTTCTAGCTGTGTTACCTTGAGCAAGTTATTTCATTTTTCTGTGCTTCAGTTTCCTCAGTTGTAAAATGTGAATAACAGAACCTTACTCAGAGTGTTATTGTCATGATTAAACTATTTAATGAATCAATCAAACGACCAAACCAAAACAAACAATACTTGGGACAGTGCTCAGTCCTTAGTACTATAACACTGGTCCTTACAAAAAAGGAAAAGAGGAACTTTAGGGTGGGTTGCTATTTATCCCTCAGTATTTGATATTCTCTTTTATTTTTTTAACTTTTTTTCAGTCAAAATCTCTTTTAAAATCTGTAGTAATAGAGTCCCCAAGTTTCGGCAAAGTACATGGGTGCATGGTATAAAGACTGCATCATTTCCACCCTCTGTTATGGCTGGGTTGGCTGTATGACCAAATCGAGGCCAATGGCATATAAGCAGAAGGTGTATGCAGCTGCCATGAACTGTCTTAAAGGAATGATAGACCCTTATTGTTCCCTGGGTTTGCATTTTCCCTGCCAGTTTGGGTGCAGGGTGCATGTCTAAGATGGCTGCAGCCCTCTTGGACCACCATATAGGATCTACAAGTTCAAGATGATCTAGTGCAATAGAATGAGAGAGGAGGATCCTGAGCCCTGACATCATGGAGCCACCACCCCAGCTTTGGACCAACCATCTATATTTGTGGATAAAGAAATCAACTTCAATTTTGTTCAACTCTTTTACATTTGTTTCCTGAAATGTAGTCACAGTTTGCCTGTAATTGTTTACTGACTATTCTAGTTTGATTCCCAAAGGCATTCCACTTTACTTTTACAAGGGTCTTCAGGTAACAATAGAGGAGTGAGGGAGGAAAACAAGGTGGAAAATATCAGCAATGCCTCATTATCTGAAAATGCTGCTGAAGAGGTGTCTGTGACTTCTAGGTATTAAGAGACAATGAGGCAAGACTACATTTTCCTTATCTTATCACCCTACAATGGTACTAAGAAGGACCTGCTCTAGGACAACTAACTTGTGGGTGTGTAAGTTCCTAAAGCATTTTCCACCTTATAATCCTGCTGTAAAGAATTGTGCTCAGTTTTCAGTCTCATGTATCTATTTTAAATGCAGTATTTATGTGTGTGTATTAGAGTATTATAGTAAACTAAAGCTTCCTAGCCAGATAATAGCTACACAAACATTAGTTCAAATATTTCAAAAACCATAACAGAAGTTGTATATTTAACCTATAGAAAGGCTTATCAGGGTAAATATATATATCTATTTATCTGTTGTCTGTCTATCCACATACATGTTTGGCTGGATTGATAGCAAACTTAACTGTTAGAATTTGTGATTTGAATCACATAGTCTTTACAGTCTTCCAAGAAGTTTTTAAAAGGGAAAATGAATTTTGACTTTACAAATAAGTTTGGCAACAGAATATACACTCCTGTCGTCTGTACACAGCACATACTCTAAGGTCAACCACATGCTCAACCATAGTGCAATTCTCAACAAATAGAAAAAAAACTGAAATAATACCAGCCACACTCTAGGACTACAGTACAATAAAAATAGAAATACTGAGAAGATCTCTAAAAACCATATAATTACATGGAAATTAAACAATCTGCTCCTGGATGACATTTCAGTAAACAATGAAATTAAGGTGAAAATCAAAAAAGTCTTTCAAACTAATGAAAACAAAGATACAACATATCAGAATGTCTGGGAACACAGTTAAGGTAGGGGTAAGAAGAAAGTTTACAGTGCTAAACACATACATCAAGAAGTTAGAAAGATCTCAAATGAACAACCTACCATCATACTTAGAGGAACCAGAAAAATATGAGCAAACCAACTCCAAAGCTAACAAAAGATAAATGACCAAAATTGAGCTGAACTGAATAAAATTGAGATGCAAAATCTGTACAAAAGATCAATAAAACCAAAACTTGTTTCTTTGGAAGAATAAATAAGATGGAAAGACTATTAGTTAGATTAATAAGGAAAAAGAAGATCCAAATAAACACAATCAGAAATGTCAAATGTGGCATTACTATTAATCTTACAGAAAAAAAAAGCGGACACTAGTATGAACTCCTCTATGCGCACAAACTAGAAAACCTAGGAGAAATGGGTAAATTCCCAGAAACATAACCTCTCCAGAATGAACCAGGAAGAAGCTGAAATACTGAACAGACCAATAATGGGCTCCAAATTGAATCAGTAATAAAAAGCCTACCAACCAGAAAAACCTGTGGACCAGATGGATTCACAGCTGAATTCTACCAGCTGTATAAAGAAGAGCTATCAATAATCCTACTGAAATTATTCCAGAAAAATCAAGGAGGAGGGACTCCTTACTAACTCATGAGGTCAGCATCAATCTGATATCAAAACCTGGCAGAGACACAGCAAAAGAAGAAAACATCAGGTCAACATCCCTGATGAATATAGACACAAAAATCCTCAGCAAAATTCTAACAAATCAAATCCAGCAGCACAACAAAAAGCTAACCCAACATAATCAACAGGCTTTCTTTCTGGGATGCAAGGTGGGTTCAAAACATGCAAATTGCACATCAAAATTACAATGAGATATTATCTCACCCCAGTTAAAATGGCTTACATCCAAAAGGCAGGCAATAACAAATGCTGGCAAGAATGTGGAGAAAAGAAAAGCCTCGTACATTGTTGGTAGGAATGTAAATTAGTACAACTGCTATGGAGAATAGTTTGGAGGTTCCTGAAAAAAACAACAACAACCAAAACCTAAAAACAACCACGATATCATCCAGGAATTCCTCTAGTGCGTATATACCTAAAAGAAAGGAAATCAGTATATCAAGGGGATGTGTTCACCCCCGTATTTATTTCAGCACTGTTCAGAATGCTGGTCCAAAATTAATGCCACATGCTTCATGCCAGTTAGTTCTCTAGAGCAATGCTAGGAATATAAATCAATACCAGCTTCTCTAAGTCTTTAAGGAAGGGATACTAATGAAATCCTTTGTGGGGAGTAGAGGGAGAAGATTCTATTATAAATAGTACAAGAATATAAATAATTATAAAACGCATGAAATAATATGATGGTGAATAAT